AAAAAAAAAAAAAAAAAAAAAATTTTTAAAATTTTTTTTTTTTTTTTTTTTGGTTTGTTTATCTACACTTGTTTATGCTGTGAGCCAAACCTCTATTTAAAAAGTTGATACTCACTTTCAATATTTTATTTCATATTATTATATTTGTCATTAATAGTTATCTTGATGTAAATATAAAGATTTTTTTGTTTCTGTAGATAGTAAACTTTTTTTTAAAAAAGGGAAAGTGAACATTTTTATAAAGTTATATTTTAATCACCATTTTATACATTGAAGCTATCTCCAAGCCCAGTAAGAGAGTGATGATTCATTTGCATGGAGGTCTATGGACAGCCACTCTTCTACCTACTCTAATATAAATGATAATCTGATACAGTTATTTTATGCCAATTAAATGAGGATGCTGCAAGAATGTTTTTTCACTAGTAACTTTTGCTAACTTTTGGGTCGATGACTCCCAAGCAAAAGACTTTTTTAAACAACACCGAATGTTTACCATCGGTGTCCATTTCCCAACACTTTTTGGTTATAACTCTTCCTTCAGTACTATATACAGACCTGTTCATCGTCTAAACAGGCTTCTAAGTAAATCTTGATTGTGGTTTTTCCTTTTTTTATTTCTTCCAAAGTCACAGAAAAGAGTTTACATTAAAAATGCCTTTGTTTCTCAGAAATGGTTATTTTCCCCCCATAAATGATTTTATAATAATTCCTGACATTTTTCAAATAAGGCAGAGATAATACAATTAAAAAATAACATGGTTTCAAGGCAAATTTCCCAATAAGCAGGAAAGTATGGAAAGAATGAAACTGTTGCAGACTCTGAATAATAAGAATAATTGCTTTTTTTTTTTGAGTGAACACCAGGCCTTCATCATTTCGGACTTACTGAGTTGCTTTCCATTTTCTCAGTATCGCCTGTGTGCCTTTATGTTTGCAAAAGTTACTGTGAGTCAATACATTTCCCCAGCGAGCTTCACTATTCTCCTTCCCTCGCAAATAAGAGAAAGGAAAGAAGGGTTTATACTCACATACCTCTTACGTCTAATTCCTTAACAAAACTAAACTTTCCCCTTCTCTAATGCCATACGCCTCTGAACTAAACGTAAGCCGAGGCAGAATCACGGTGTGGAGCGAGTAGAATGGCCAGGGAGCAGCGGTGGGTCGGTGACCACGGAGAAGCTGCGTGACCCCAAGCAGGGGCCAGCCTGGCTGCCAGAGCACAGGTCTTAGCAGGCTGCCTGGCTGTTTGTTTGTTTTAAGGTACATGAAATAATATTGGCCAAAGTAGTTAAAACCTCTTCAATCCAGAATTGTGTTTATCAGTCTAGGAAGACTGAAGATTTTTTCTTCAAAAATAAATTACCAGTATATTAAAGCCAGGAGTCAGTTGAAATAAAGGAATGGAGAGTCATCAAGTCCGAGGCTTTCATACACACCCAGTCCATCCCAAAGGATGCCCAGGGCCATAAAAAGGTACTTTCTGCCAGTGAGGTTCTCCCCCCTCCTTGATGACAGCAATATTACTGTGTTCACTTCCAACTCCAGAGCTTAATTCCTTAAAGTGTATTTGTTGCAATTTGCTACATTTTTATGTGAGTCTATTTATAGGTGCCATTAGATAAACTCAGGTCTTTCAAATGAAGGAATTTCTGGCCCATCTAGGGAAAAAGGTAATTGTATGACAGCCATGAAACCAATGGTAGGAAAAGTTGGAACTGATAACCATGATGCTAGTGGTGGTTCTCTGTTGAGGAAAAGACCAGGTATAAGAGTGTTGTTGATGTTATTTCCAGCACGCTGATAGAATGTCTTTCCAATTATCTATCTAAGCCAACCTTTAAAATACTGTTTCTTTGGTGAAAACACCACTTTAGGGTTTTTGTAAAGTATAAAATTTGTTTTTCTCATTTATATAAGACCTGGTTTTGTTCTCAGTGGGAGAGAAGACAGTAGTTCTGGACAGGGCTATATCTATATTGGTCTTCATCTGAGAAGAAATTTCTTCATGTTATGTAAAATATCCACTTTCTAAAAACAGAACACCTAATTCTATCTGGTCAATTTTGATGGAATTCCAGAACAAATCCCAACCGTTGCAACCCCAGTAAAGCTAAAGAAAAGGGGTTGCATGTCGTGTAGACTGTTCATATTACATGTATGTATGGTGATTTCCTCATGTCCCCTGCCTCTCTTGGTTTGCGCTTTCCCCATGTCCCTGTCACCTTCCCAGAGAACTTTCTTTGAAGGTAAAAGCTGTGCAAAAGGCGTGAGACTCAGGCCTATACTTTGTTTAAATGATGGAAAAAATATAAATTATTTTCTAAGTAATAAAGATATGAAAATTATCATTGTAAATAAAGTTTAAAGTTTGAAATGACTGCTTTACAAAGTGAACTATTTGTGTGATGAACAAGTGATGACTAATGAGAAGGGAGCAATCAAAAAAGCATTTTCTATTCTACTTTGGGAGGTCATTTTGGTGCTTCCGTGTCAGTATGGGGATCTCCACTGTCTTCATTTTCAGTATTTCTAAAATAATAATGAAAACCACAGTAAGGGTCTTAGCTTCCTTTTCTTCCAACCTAACTCTGATTCCTACTTAATACCTTTTCTAGTTCATATGCCACTTTAGAAGTAAACTGCCTTTTAACCCATCAGAAGACTCCAAGTCAACTCCAGTCAAACAGTCCTGTAAACTTTCATAGTCCAGACTAAATCAGGAGTCTCCTTATATTATTGAATGCATGTTGGGGGAAATCAATCAAATTTTAAATGTTAATAGTTCAACTCTAGATAATTGATAGATAAAATATCTGTATATTTTGAACCAAACTGAGTTTCTTTCCTTCACCTTTCCTAACAATGAGTAAAATACTTTATGACCATTGTTCTAGTTCTTTCATTTTTCTCATGATTTTTTCATGAGGTAAAACTATGAACTTGCTGATATTGTCAGTTCATTTTTCTAATTTGTTCAACAAAATGAAAACTTTAACTTAGGAGACAGATTAGCCTGTTCTAGGTAAAGGGCATTCCAAAATGAAATTATTCTTAGAATTTCTAATCAGAGGGAAATAATACCCAACTTTAGGTTCTATAGTCATATCAGTTTGTTCCTCTAGAAAATATTCAAATTCTTCCTGAAAATTTGATTGGGGGTGAATTACTCAAACTATAAGCACTGAGTAAGTTTAACAAACCGTGCATTAGATAAAGGACTTAAATTGAGGTTTCCATAAGCATTTGTATGTTTCACACTAAAGAACTGTGATGGTCAGGCAAGAACACAAACATATTTTTCAGTCTGTATTATGTCCCATGGATGTTAGGCCATTTGTGCTATTGCCTAACACATTCCATTTGTTAAAATGCTGCTGCTTTTTTCTTAGCTAAAGGTGCTTTCACCCTACTTAAATGGATCTTTATGTTGACTGTCAAGTCATTCTAACAGCAGATTAACAATGATGACAAAAATAATTGGGCCTTTTGTTGCTAAGCATGTTTGAAGAGAGAAAATTGAAGATTAAGGATTTGTTTTGTTGGAACTCAAGGTTAATCTCTGGATTCAAAAATACTGATCCAGTATAAATTACTTTAATGCAGGTAAGACTATAAACTATATAAAATGATATATAGATAGAAAACAAAATTAGCTTTTGGCATACGCCTAAGACTCTAAAAAGAATCCAGACTCTCCATGTTATACTTTTAAGGTTGATAACCTTGACAGGTGTTGGTATCCGTGGATTTCTGCCTCACTGAGGAGCTGCGAACACAGAAGAAAAGGCAAACCTTCTTATAAATAGAAATGCTGAACATGCCCATGCTCAGATAGATTTCCTCATTGCTTCATATCAAGAAGCCATTTTCTAATCATGCAAACAATTAAATTAAAAATGCTTCAAAGATAGTAATATTTAATCATCATATGAACTTTCAAGGACATTTAAATTTTATTTTCTTTTTTTAACCAAAGCTATTAAAAAAGTTATTATTCAATTAAAATGAAACCCACAAAATGGCACAAAATGGATACAGAGATGCTAAATATTTTTATATACTTGGATCTAACATTATGTAACAGAAAACTGTAAAGAAGATTTATTTTTTCTAATGCCCTTTATGCCTCAGGGAGAAAAATGTTTTATGAAGGGTCCAATAAATACATGTGATAGATAAAAATAAATTTATTCCCCCAAATTTAATTAGCTAAATGTACAAATTATACTCAGTTCTGAGCCCAAGAAAAAGGAATGTATTATCCACCAATCTGTCCTGTTTTAGCTTATTTTAAAATAAATGATCTATTAATATAGATTAATTTTACTAAATTATAATGCAATTTAAAACCTAAATACTTATCTTCATTACCAAGAAAAATTAAATCTTACTAATCTTGACTTTCACAGATGAAACACTGACCAGTTAATAAACCACACCCATTACATTCATCTGCCAAGAGTGATCAAATGGTAGGTTGGAATTTGAAATGTATAAATAGAAAAGTGCTTAAAAATATTTTTAAAGCTTTAATGCTTTAAATTTTCAATGTCAGTAGAAATACCTACTTCAGAGGAAACAGAAACTACAGCAGGGAATCAAGAAATTCTTCCAGTCTTCTAAAAAAATAAAGTCAAAGGCATAGGGGGAAAATATGGCTTCTCCTCAATTTTACTTCTCTGACTCAAAGTTAGTAAAGGAAATTCTCCTCTGCTGTAATAAGGAGATTGTCTTTCACCTCAAGTTCTGACTCCACACACCTAGTTTTACTGTGCAGCCCATGGTACTGAAAAATAAAAAAATAAAAAGCAGAGCTGTGGATTGGGAGTGAACACTACATAAAACTTCAAGGATCATCCCAGAACACTCCTCAATTTTATGACAAACCAATTTAGTTATTAGTTACTCTGGAGTAAAGGGACTTAATGGATCCATATTTCAACTCTGACTACATTTATTACAATCAGCACTTACC